GCTGACATGTGCATACAATCAAACTGCTATCCAAATACTGATAATGCTAACCCAAATTAGATAACTTCCAATAGAAATTAAACAAATGTTGGTTCAAAATGTGATTTCCCTATATTAACTATAGTAAAGTTTACCCCCTTCCCAGGGGGAAACTTGAGACCCCAGGGTCATGAAATTCACAATCTTGGTAAAGCACCTTAAGACCCTTCCATCTATGAAGAGTATTTGGTTCTACCATATCTGGGTCTTGTGAAGAAGATTTTGAAATTTCAGTCAATTCGACCCTTTTTGGCACCACCCATCAGCCCTGTGTGTCAATCAGGGCTGATATGTGTATACAATCAAACTGCTATCGAATACTGATAATGCTAACCCAAAATGAATTACTTCCAATGGAAATTAAACAAATGTTGGTCCAAAATGTGGTTTCCCTATATTAACTATAGTAAAGTTTACCCTCTTCCCCAGGGGGAAACGTGAGACCCCAGGGTCATGAAATACACAATTGCGGTTAAGTACCTTAAGACCCTTCCATCTATGAAGAGTATTTGATTCTACCAAATCTGGGTCTTGAGAAGTAGATTTTGAAATTTCAGTCAATTCGACCCTTTTTTATTTTTTTTAATTTTGAAAGTGGTGCAAATAACCCTTCAGAGTTATCAGCAATTGAATGCTTCATTGCTTTATCATCATCGTTAGTTACAAAGATGCAATGAATATCATGGTAACCTTAGCGTTCACGTTGACCTTTATTTAACCTTTTACGATACATTTCGAGAGCGTTACAACATTATTGACAGACACTACTGTATACATTTTTGTGACAAGGTCGCGCAATGATAATGCTGGTTTTGACAAAATGGAAAGATCAGTGAAAGATATTGACTCACGAAATAAGAATTTAACCAAATACTTAAAAACAATATTAATAAATAAATAATAGTTATTAAAACTAAGACAAAAAATAGGATCTACAGAAAGCAAAATTAACTAAGGGTAAAGACCACCGGAATAAATAAACATTAGAAATGAAACTATTAAAACCAAAAGGAAAACGAAAAAGACAATCTGGAAAAAAATACAAAGATCACTGAGTGATAAACCCTTACCCCCATCTAAGCCATCGAAAATATTAAAGTATTTATAAAATTTTAATAATAAATCAACACATATTCTTGCTCTTTATCATAGTGGTGAATTTCTCAAACATCCTACAGATAGAGCGAAAACACTAAATGATTACTTTACCTTATTAGTAACATCCTCTCCTAATCTTGACCTACTGCCACCTACTATAAATATCGATCTTTTTCAATTAGAAAAATAGTAAATATATCTGAACAAGATGGTATCGACCAATTAAATCTATCAAATGATAAGAAACCAGCAGGGCCTGATGGAATAGAACCTAAAGTAAGTGAAAAACTAACACCAAAATCAATATCAATAACTCAATATCATATCCACTAACATGACTATTTAAAACGATGGAATTTGGACATAGTCCAGCATCATGGAAACTTGCTAATGTTAATGCCATATATTAGGGTAAAGGGTCTCACAATGGCGTCAGTAGTTAAGTAGTTATAGGTCAATCTCAATTGCATCCTGCTTCAGTAAAAGTATTCCGAAAAGTCATCTTCCTGTACACACTTCAAATTATCTTCAGAGCTTGTAGCATCTGAAACTATTACTGAGTACTAGTTAGGCTTCCTGCCTGGTGACTCAACTGTGAATCAGTTATTATCTATATATCACACTACTATAAATAGTTTAGATAAAGGTAAAGAAGTAATATCTGTCCTCTGTCATGCATTAGTAAGACTATTGATAGGGCTTGACATGACGGGGTAATATAAACTTATTGAATTGAAGGAAAGTTACTGGCATAGTTCTAGAACTATCTATCCGAGAAAAACAAAGAGTTATTACAGGACACCAGTCAATTTTTAAATCAGAGGTCTGTCCTTGGTCCATTTCTCTTTCTTCTCTTTATAAATGATATCACTAATAAAGATCAAAGTAACATTAATTTTGTCGTAGATGTCACCTCCCTCTATATTATTGTTGATAATCCTATTCAGGCAGCACAAAATCTCACTTATGGCTTGCAGAATATATGTTCTTGGAATATGAAATTTAATGCATCCAAAACTACAACTATGATCTTCACACTTAAGGTCTTACTTTTAATGAAGATGGTAAATTGGGTCAACATATCAAAAATATTTATGATACAGCATATGAAAGAATTGATATATCAAGAAGCCTTAAAACCTCCCTTGATAGAAGTACACTTAACACTGTGTATATATATCATTCATAGACCAATTTTAGAATATGCTTATGTAGTTTGGGATAAATGCTGTGAGAAATCAAAAATATTAAAAGAATTAGTCCAACAAGATGCTGCTCGAGTAGTGACAAGGCTTTGTAGAGTTACACGACACCATAAATTATATAAATAATTGTGATGAAAAATCTTTGATGATAGGAGGGAAAAATTAAACTAATTTTAATGCATAAAGTATTGCATAATACATCATCAAAGTACCTTAATGATATTGTTGATCCTATTTTAAATAATTTAACAAATGTGAGATATTATCTAAGATTAAGTAAAGTTCTTGATCCCTAATATGTAGAACTGAGAGCTACTAATAATTACTTTTCCTCAACTTTTCAACTTTATAATCAATTAGACGAAAATAAATTAAATACTCATCTCATTCCAAATTTAAGCAACTAATTAACAAAACTAGTAACTTAATGATACTCAATCAGTCGGGAAAGAAAAATCGTTATTATACTATGTCAAATTAGAAATGCTAGCAACTAAAATTTTGATCCCTATAATGACCATCTATTAAAACATGCTGCATGTTAATGCAAGAAACAATTCATCATTACTTTGTATGTGACAGATACAAAAATCACAGTTAAATATTTATATTCGGTGATAATTACTCGCACTATACACTCCATACTATACTAAATGGTTGTAAGCAATGTGACCATGAAACTAATCAAAGTATCCTAGAAAGTGTTTCAACCTTTATCGCAAGCTGAAAAAAGGGTTTGTATATACATGAATTTCTTCACAAAAATTATAATGCACCAATATTGTAAATATGAACTTTCCAGGTAAAAGAACATCTAACATATAAAATGCCTAGTGATCTATTACTGGCTGCATCCCTGCAGGTCGGGGATCGCACAAAGTATCGTAAGAGGCGACTAATGGGAAACCCCTAAAGAATTGAAGATTTGCTTTTGTGCCCTCTATTTGAGGACATAAAAGCGACCAAATAAATATGCTGCTGCAAAAGTTGGGATATTAATATTTCTCTCTAATTCTAACTACCTTATATTTCCTAGTGCCTTGCGTGTCAATACCTCACGTTTGGCTTCAATGTTGAGCGTTCGCCTAGGTGAGGAAGGCGATGGGTACTGTCCCCAGGCCTGGACATATCAAAGCCCTTACAATGGTAGTTATTATTCCCTGCTGAACGTTCAGCATTAAGGGTAATTGCAACAACTAGTTCACCCGCTGTTAATATAATGTGACCGGGCGGAATGCTGGATGACTTGGGTATGGTATTTCAGAGAAATAGCACTTTAAAGTCGGCATCAGATCCGCGCTATCATAAGGAGGCAAGTACTCCAACATGCCCCGTCTCCAGCACACTTACACACATGCACGCATCCACAAAATACACGGAGGCACGCCTTAAATGACCTAAGCTATTAACAGGATGTGAAACAAAATTAAACCAAACCTATTACTGGCTGGTATCAATACCATTAATTATTTACAAATGTACACTGTGTGACTATGATATGCTTGTCCCATAAATCAACATTGAATTGTGCTTAGTAAAGTAGAAACAAGTTGTTGTATAATTATATTTTTACTATATTATAATGATAATGTTAATATACCCTACAGGATTGGCATAACTTATATATAATATCCAAAGACTAGTATATGTATATATTTATAGTCAACTAACTTAGGATCACCTTTTGTGGATCTTGAATTCCCAGGGAAGATCTAGTGAAGGACGATTGGCAATATTGACTCATTAGCTTGATGAGGTAAAGATACAGCACCGACTGACATTTATTTTTTTACAACCAATTTGAGTTATCTTCCCTATACCATTGACTTGCACATAAATATATTGATGTTTTATATATTAGTTGTGTATCTTGTTACAATTTTTCATTTCACTGTAAAATATGATATATATACATATATATACTGTTACATACAAATACATGCAGAAGAGATTTGATATAGGCGTAGCCTGTTGCTCGATCATATTCATATACATCATGAATACAATTATAGTATGACATCTGGGTGTAAAGAAAGCATTGTCCATAGTCATATCTAAATGCTTTGGTATCATATGATAGAGATTGGAACATAGATGAAGGTTATGATGTGCAGGTTATGAGGTCAATGTGCCCAAAGGAAGTCAGGGAAAAGAACACATTTATCTTTAAACTATACACTTATTGTAATGTAATTTTCCATTCCAGGTTCTGTTGCCAAGTCCCATGTCCTCAATGGAAATATTAGCAGTAGATAAACTAGGACCACTACCATTTAGCAGTAAATGTTGCAGAGTTTGGCAGTTCACTTATATAAATAGATGCTGTTTAAATAAGTGTTTAACAAGCTCCTATTATTACAGAGAAAAATTTAGAAAATAGTAGTTTAATTTTTCGGTGTCCCTATTAAAGCCAGCGTCTGGATTTTAAATTCATATTTTTGTGCAAGAGCATATGCATTGCAAACACCATAACAATACCATCTCGTCCATAGTTTGACGGCATTATTGAACACGTGAATAGAACCATGACAGCACAGAAAATAATCAGAAAGGTTCGGATCTGAACATTTCTTAAATAAAAACAATGTAAGACGAGTCGTTAACTCAAATTTGTCATCAAGTATAAATAAAGACTATCATTATTTCCTGTAAGCTTACCGATCAGCTGAGCATGAACGTAATGGTGTTTCTCCGTGTTAGATCAAGTTAGAACACAAGTTTTCTTCTACAGGTTGGTTTTGACCTTGGCCGGATAGTAACTGTCAACAAAAAAACCGCATAGTTTCATACTTACAAATAAAGTTGAAAATTAAAAACTGTGCATAGCATAAAAATGGCATCATTTACCGCAGTCAGTGCAGTGTAAAGTGTAACCCCATGCTTGTATACCATAATCATCTAAAGTTGGAAGTAAGAAAACACTATTACGAAACATTTATATCACGCTGCAAATTGGTACTTCGTTATCATTGAAGCTGTTCCCAAGTGCCAAGATTGTAGGGGCGGGATTAACACTCACATCAAAACACTCTCCAAACACGGTGTTAGTGAAAACAAATTTGGAATGAGAACACGCTGTGGAAGAGGAACCTTTTGTAGTCGTTGTTACCCTTGTCTGGTAAAAGTGAGTAGACAAACAAAGATTTTTCACACAAGAAGGCAGAAAAGAATAACGAGAGAGAGAGGCTATTGATTGATTGATAGGTTTTACGTCCGCTTCACTACCGAGTATTTCGGTTATCCAGCAGACGAAGAACAGAAAGGAAAATGAGTAGAAGGGATAAAGTATGGAGTAAAAGAGTAGAAGAGGGGGATAGGTTAGAAAAGGGGCCGTCTATCCTATATATATTAACTGTATAAGTCTAATTTTGTAAGACGGCTCCTATGCCTAATAATGCCTTAACATATACTCATCGTACAGCATTACCAAGTCTGGACCGGAAGTGAGGTACTGTGCCGCCGCCAGCCACACCAGCCCCTGCCTATGAATTTGGTTTGTATATAAAAGTTTGAAGTCCTTCTAAATGTCTTAATAACGAGACCCTAGTTCTATCGGCCTAAAATTTTGAATAACGCTTTTGCTATCCTCTGTGTCGACGTTTACGCGCCTACTCTTTTTCGAAAAACCCAGAGGGATTTTTTCCGTGCGAGATTGGACACTTCTCACATGGGCTACCATTTATAGTCCCATCCGACGGACTGTATGTTAGTGGTTAGAGTCATGCATGTGCTGGGTTTTTTTGTTGTCCGTTCAATGTACTCCTCTCTTCATTCGTCACTGAGAATATACCTGACTGAACTTGTACCAATCTCATCTTTCTAAAAAGCCTCGACTTGTCGTTCACTTAATTCTGTTCATCGTTCCGACATTTATTATTTTTAGTGTATAGCGTGATTATTAGTATGGGATAAAAGAATAATGGTGGGGGGGGAGGCGAGGTTAGAGTTATAGTTTGGTTATAACATTGATGGGGCTGGAGGGGTTGGAGATTGAAAGAAGTGATGGGTATGAAAGAAATGTGATGATAGATGTAAGGGCTGTATAGCGTGCTAGTTGTATGGACCGGAGAGGTGTTTGGGGGTGATTGGGAAGAGGGGTTGGCTGGGAGAGGATACTTAGTTTTTGCTATTTTTACATTTATGTGTAAGTGCTTTTTGTTTTATAAAGTTGTTTTGAGCACCGTGGAAGAGGAATACAACTACCTTTTGTAGTCGTTGTTACCCTTTTCTGGTAAAAGTGAGTAGACGAACAGAAGTTTTTTCACACAAAAAGGCAGAAAAGAAAAACGAGAGAGGATTACAGGCGGGGTGACCTACAAGCTGTGGCAAGTATGGAGAGAGAAAATTGATTGATAGTAGAAAATAACAACATCAAGGAAAGAAAATGAGAATGAATGACTGAAATGGATGGGAAAACGAGAGGAGGAAGAGAACGAGGAACAGAAGGAGATAGAGAGATAAAAGAAAAGAGAATAGAGAGGAACGGCAGAGGGAGAAAAGTTAGAACAAATATTGCAAGGCAATCCATAGTCCCCTAGCGGTAATGATTTCAATATTTTAAAAAACAATACACTTATGTCAGGAAGCATATGTCACAGTGTTATCATAGTGACTTACTTCTTTCACTCTGCCATCCCAAGATATCCTTATACATCAAATCTGGTTACTCCAGGTGAAACTGTATTGAAGATATGCCCCGGACAACTATTTTCATAAGTGAAGGTCAAAGATGAAGTCATAGGTCACAGTGACTTAGTTCTTGCACTCTGCCATCCCACGATGTCCTTGTACCAAATCTGGTTACTCCAGGTGAAATAATATATACGATTTTGATTGTGTGCTCCAGCCAACTTTCTTGTAACTCATGTCAATCATGTCAAACGATCAAGAAGTAAAATGTAAACATTAAAAGCAGCACTTGACTTGAAGTCTCTTCAATGTTTTTTTCCAAATTATTTCCAAAATAATATTTTATCATTAATTTATAACAGAAACAATAAATTAGACTTGAGCAAAAAATCCACGTTTGGGCATGAGAACGGTTTAATGGATACAGGCTCTGTAATGTCATTTAACTTTTCCATGACACACAATTGCAGCCACTCGTTGTTAACAGGTATAAGTAAATTGCATTTTCTATACACTAAAGACGTTTGGTGCCTACACTACATACAATAGATCCCATCATTGTACCTTATTCTATTTCAGTTTGATCTTTTATTTTATTTTCTCTTATCACTTTCTCAAGTCATGTAAACAGTAAATGCACGGTTTCACATATTTACTAGTACAGTTCTTTAAATGTAAGAGAAATATATCTGATCATTACAATATCAGAAAGATCTCATTAGTACTTCCTGCGGCCATCTTGTTTGTTATGATCACTCTCCAAAGTAAATAAGCACAACTACAGACCAAAAGAACCTACAAAATAAATGAGAAACCCTCCAGACCGACGATAACAAACATTCACTGTCAAAATCCAAGATGGTCGCCTGTCGGCCATTGTGTTCATTAGATCACTCTGAAAAGTAAATATGCACAATTACAGACCAAGGTAAATCTACACATACAATTTTAAAAAAAAAAACTCAAGGACTTCCTGAGAAATAGCGATAACACGAATTACGAATGACAACGGACGGACGAAAGATATGATGGTGGACTAAAAATCAAAATGTAAAAAACACATTTTATGTCCTAATATTTGAAACGACTAATGCGGGAACTTCCTGCAGAACTTTGGTTTATATAAGTATAATAGAGAAATATAAATATCCTAAGTATTGCAATCGTAGCAGCAGACCTATTTTGGTTGCTTTTGTGTCGTAAAGTTGAGGAAACGAAGGCAAATCCGAAATACTGCAGGGGATTCCCATATTGGTTGCTTCTTACGATACCTGCAACGTTGAATATTTAAACGCCTGTTTTCTAAATCGCTTTGAAGGCAACTGGAGTGAGATTTATACCAGTTGAGCGATTCAGGCCCATTTGGCCTCTTAAAGACAAAAGCCTGCCGTTTTGTTTCTTGTTTACTACAAGTAACCTCCCCTTAACTACGCATACTGATATTGTTATTTTGTTTTGAGAAATGATACGCATATTCAACCTTATTGTCACGCATGCGACCAATCTTTTCGTCAAACTCATAAAGATTGAATGCGATGATTTAAAAAAAAAATACCTGTGACAGATATTATAATGTTCCGTCTATAAAAGGTTTAATTGATACAGTTTCAGTGGAATTGATACATAATTAATTGCAATAAATCGATCTTAACAATAGGGTTGGATATATTTTACAACCGCAAAACAGTACAATCAAGAGAATCAGAGGGCCAGTACCGCTCACCCTGATATTTATGCAGTCATAGCAAAATATGCTCATTAAATATTATACTGTACTACAAATATTTTGATAATAAACTGATAATCCATCCTCCTTAAAAGCCAACATTTGCAGTATCAGCATGACTGCGAATCCCCTTATCTCCTGTAAGCAAAATCTTCTATGTTAATAGATAGCTACGGCCAGCACACACAAACACACACCCTGTCTTTGAAAGGGGGTCTGTGGTTTCCGTCAAACGTATTTCCTTTGTCTACAACAGATTCTAGACACGCCCTTCGCGTAATTAAAAGCTGCGAAAAGTCAAAATAATATTCCAGATGAGAAAGCTCTATATATGGTATTGTTTGCATGCATCTTGATTAAAGTCATTTCTTTATAAGTCTGCATGTTAATAATTGTTATTGAAGGTAAATATGCATATGATAAGAAGGCTGATTACAGTGTATTTGTGGATAACATATCTAATGCACACGATCTGCTTATACTTAAAAGATGAGTGTACAATTTCGTATGAGTTTTTGATTACATAAACTGAAGTCAATACATTTTGTTTCTATCCTTTTTTGTCAAACACGTAGTCTATGCAAATATCGGTTGGTACATGTATATATAATCCTCATATGTGACAGCAAAGATTGCGGCACAAATTGAAACATAACATGGAACATGTATTTGGTATAATGTATATCAATCCAATAAAGCGTTTCCTTGTTAATATAGCTGATATACAAGAGATCCCAGAGGTATCTTGGTGCCCACCATTCTACCATCTTTATTAGTTTATATCAGTTTGATATTTTCTCAGTCTGATTTTTTTTCTGTTGGTTTTAATCAATCTGTATATCACTCTTTTTTATTTTCATCACAATCAAATAATTAAAAAAGTACAGGAAATGGCCGTCGAGAGCCCGCATGTATCGTGCAAAAGCGACGAAATACATACTTTTTAAAATAACATTTCTGTTACTTAATGTTATTGTCTGAATAGTTGACATGTAAGTATTTTTAAAAATATATATTCTCTTCATGCAAAACCAACGTTAAACCATCGCTTGGATCCGACCTCGAGCCAAATTCAGTACGGTGGACAAACGTATGTCGGGCCAACATTGGGTGACACGTTTGGCCAATGTCTGCCTGCTAGCTTGGCTCTTGAACTTAAAATAATAAAATCAACTTTAAAAAGGTGTTATTTGGCGGCCACCATGAAAGGATCTTTTTATATTTACAAACGACTATTTTTGCCTTCTTTGCTCTTCATTTTCCATTCCAGGTTCTGTTGCCAAGTCCCATGTTTGAAACTCTAAACAGGAATCTTGTATATAAACTTAAACCTCTAAATGTCATATTTTATTTGCCACTTTCTTATAGATTAAGGTAGCAGTGAACAGTATAAATGGCCTGATCCTACAAATAAAGGCAATGTCTCAGATAAACATATATAGTGTATTCATCCTGCCCAACACACATACATATATTAATATATTTATAAAGTACATTTTGAATGCATATTTTTAGATGAATAATTATTACCTTCTCAGTTACAGAAATAATTACGTTTTCGCATAGGTCATTCCGTAGAATTTTTGATACATTGTACATGTACTATAACGAGGGTTTTTCATTGTACAAAAATATCACCAATGGCCACCGTACGCTACTATATACTGCTACATAATAATAGTATAACTATGTACAAAATGCTAAAAACTTCTTATATTAATAGAGGTGTTGTCAATGACGGAAGAGTTCTCATTAGGGCAAGGGGTATCATTTACAAGGGGGATCAATGGGAACATGCATGTAAAAGAGTTATGACAAAATTGAACTATCAAATTTAACATGGCTGTCTGGTGACCATTTTCCCAAAAAAATATACTGATAAGTAGAGACCATAAAAGGGAAATTAACATACTTATAAGCGTTTCCTCCTTTTATAGACAAAATTGGAAAACCTCTGTTTCTATATTTAGAATAGCATTAATCAGGTGATTTATTTGACTTTACTGACCAATTCGAATAGGAGAGACAACCCATAAACGATAGAGGTGACGTATCGCTTCAGTCCATGTAGTTCACTATGGACACAGTAAGGGTCACGTCCGGGAACTCAGAGGACGGAGTAATGTATCCCTACACGATTCCAATTAATCAGGTCTCGAAGCAACTTTAACTACAAACATTCTATGCGTGGTTATCCAGCCTCCTTCACCACGCATAGTCGGGCAGATTCCAACAGAATGTAGCTAAGTGAAGTCAATATTTGTGTAAGTATTTTTAGCAGTTTACCTTAACGTTAAAGATTTAAATTGGTGATTCCCTCTCTTACAAGACACTTTAACGCATGTCGAATTCTGATGTAGAAGCCCGATAAAAGGAGACTTCCGGTTTAGTTGCTGGGCACCATTTTGTGTTTCTAGGGAAATCAAGCACATCAACAGTTCACATTTTGGATATGCTTACCTTTCCAAAGATATTAACTGCATATCGTTATCTAGTCTGAAAGCCGAGATAAGGTCACTTGCGGTTTGGTTGCTATGTCGTCATTTTGGGTTGCTAGGGAAACCAAACAAATGTACGAATTGCATTCAGGACTTTCTTACCTTTTCAAAACACTTTACTGCATATCTGTATCTAGACTAGAAGCTGTGATAATGTCACCTCCGGTTTGGTTGCTAGGACGCCATTTTAAATTGCTATGGAAATAAAACAAATTTGAGGAAAAAAAGTTTGAAAAATGAACAAAATCTTGGGATATCAAATTTCATGCATCCAAAAACCACAACTATGATCTTCACACGGAAAATGAAACTAACCACTCTCCAATGGTCCTCTCTAATAAACCACTACATGACAGTACTTACCATAAACATGAAGTTCTTATTTTTAACGAAGATGGTAAATTTGGTCAATATATCCAAAATTGCATTTGAAAAAAAAAATTATCAAGAAGACTTAAAATCTCACTTGACAGCAGTACACTTAAAACAATATATCTTATATTAGACCGATTTCAGAATATGAAAATGTAGTTTGGGATGATTGCTGAGCGAAATCAAACATTTCTAGAGTCGTGACAGAGCTTCGTAGAGATACATCACACCATAAATTATAAGAAGAATTTGAATGGGGAACCTTAGCTGATACATGAAGGAGGGAAAAATGAACCAATTTTAATGCATAAACTATTGCAAAAAACATCACAAAAGTACCTTCATAATACTGTTGATCCTGTTTTAAATGATTTAACAAATGTGAAATATTATCTAAGATTAAGTAGAGTTCTTAATCCCCTAATATGTAGAACTGAGAGCTACTTTAAAGGTACTTTTCCTCAACATTTCAACTTCAAAATAAAATAAATTCTCAATCTTATTCCAAATTTAAGCAACTAATTAATAAAACTAGAAATTTAATGATACTTTTCAGTGGGAAAAGAAAAATCGCTATTATACTATGTTAAATTAGAAAGAATGCTAGCAACTAAAATTTTGATCCCTATAATAACCATCTATTAAATCTGCTGCATTTAAATGCAAGAAACAATCCACAATTACTTTGAATGTGCCAGATACAACAATCACAGACAGATATTCTCAGTTTTACTCTGTGATAATCACTCGCACTATACACTGCATACTAAACTTCATGGTTGTAAGCAATGTGATCATGAAACTAATAAAAAATATCCTAGAAATCAAAGTGTTTCAACATTTATCGCAAACTGAAAAAAAGTTTGTATATACAGAATTTCTTCATAAAAATTATAATGCACCAATATTGTAAACATGAATTAACTTCTGACATATAAAAAGCCTAGTGATCTATTACTGGCCGCACCCCTGCAGGGTCTGGGATAGAGAAAAAAGTATCGTAAGAGGCGACTAATGTTAAACCCCTGCAGAATTGAGGACTTGCTTTTGTGTCCTGTATTTGAGGACAAAAAAGCGACCAATATAAATATGCTGCTGCAATAGTTGGGATATTAATATTTCTCTCTACTTCTAACTACCTTATATTTCCTAGTGCCTTGCGTGTCAATACCTCACGTTTGGCTTCAATGTTGAGCGTTAGCCCAGGTGAGGAAGGCGATGGGTACTGTCCCCAGGCCTGGACATATCAAAGCCCTTACAATGGTAGTTATTATTCCCTGCTGAACGTTCAGCATTAAGGGTAATTGCAACAACTAGTTCACCCGCTGTTAATATAATGTGATCGGGCGGAATGCTGAGCTGGGTGTCTTCGGTATGGTATTTCAGCGAGATAGCACTTTAAAGTCGGCATCAGATCCGCGCTATCATAAGGAGGCACATACTCCAACATACCCTGTCTCCAGCAAACTGACACACATGCAGGTATCCACAAAATACACGGAGGCACGTCCTTAAATGACCTAAGCTAGTAATAGGATGTGAAAAAAATAAAACCAAACCTATAAACTGGCTGTACACTATGTGACTATGCTTGCCCCATTAATCAACATTGAATTGTGCTTAGTAAAGTAGAAACAAGTTGTTTTTATAATTATATTTTCACTATATTATAATGAGTATGTTAATATACCTTACAAGATTGGCATAATATATAATATGCAAAGACTAGTATATGAATATATTTATATTTAACTATCTACGGGTCACTTTTTGTGGATCTTGAATTCCCAGGGAAGATCTCGTGAAGGTCGATGGGCAATATTGACTCATTAGCTTGATGAGGTCAAGCTACAGCACCGACTGAATGCTATTTTTTTACAACCAATTTGAGTTATCTTCCTTATACCATTGCCTTTTTGTATATCAATTGTGTATCTTGTTTCAGTTTTTCATTTCACTGTAAATTAGTATATATATACATATATATACTGTTACATACAAATACAGGCAGACGAAAACTGATATAGACGTAGCCTGTTGTTCGATCATATTCATATACATCATGAATACAATTATAGGTTGACATTTGGGTGTAAAGAAAATATTGTCCAGGGTCATATTTAAATGTGTCGGTATCATATGATAGAGGTTGGAACAGAGATGCAGGTTAGGAGGTCAATGTGCCTTGAGGAACACATTTACCTATAAACTATATACTGATGAGACCTCAATGGAAATATTAGCAGTAGATATACATGTACAAGGACTACTACCATTTAGCAGTAAATGTTGCAGCGTGGGGCAGGTCACTTCAAATATATATATATATATATGCTGTTGAAATTAGTGTTTAACAGGTTCCTATTATTACATAGAAACAATTAGAAAATAGTGATTTTATTTTTCGGTGGCCCTATTTGAGCCAGCGTCTAAATTATAAATTAATATTTTGTGCAAGATTCTATGCATTGCAAACACCATAACAATACAATCTCGACCATACTTTGACGCCATGATTAAACACGTGAATAGAACCCTGACAGCACAGAAAATAATCAGAGAGGTTCGGATCAGAACATTTCTAAAATTAAAAAAATGTAAGACAAGTCGTTAACTCAACTTTGTCATCAAGTATAAATAAGGACTATTATTATTTCCTGTAGATGTAAGTCTTGGTGTTTCTCCGTGTTAGATGACGTTAGAACGCAACTTTTCTTCTCGAGGTTGATTTTGACCTCGGCCGGATAGAACCTGTCAACAAAAAAAACGCATAGTTTCATCGTGAAGACACTTACAAATAAAGTTTAAAAATTAAAAACTGTACATAGCATAAAAATGGCATCATTCCTGCAGTCAGTGCAGTGTAGAGTGTAACCCAATGTTTGTATACCATAATTATATAAAGTTGAAAAAAAGAAAACACTACTACGAAACATTTATATCATGCTGCAGATTGGTACTTCATTATCATTGAAGATGTTCCCAAGTGCCAAGATTGTAAGGGCGGAATAAACAGACTCACATCAAAACGCCTGTATTTTGCAGCAGGACACACTCCAAACACGGTTTTAGTGAAAACAAATATGGAGTGGGAACACGCTGTGGAAGAGGAATACAACAACCTTTTGTAGACATCCTATCTGTCATTCCAAGATATCCTTGTACACCAGTCTGGTCCTTGCACCAAATCTGGTTACTCCAGGTAAAATAGTATAGCAGATATATCCCGGACAATCTTTTTCAAATGTTTAGGTCAAAGCATAGGTCACAGTGAGGTCATAGTGACCTAATTCTTGCACTCTGCCATACCAAGATGTCCTTGTACCAAATCTGGTTACTACAGGTGAAATAGTATAGCAGATGTATTCCAGGTAATCTTTTTAAAACGTTAAGGTCAAAGATCAAAGCATAGGCCACAGTGAGGTCATAGTGACCTAAATCTTGCACTCTGCACTCCGCTATCCCAAGATGTCATTGTACACCAGATCTGATATAAGATATGTCCCGGGCAAACTTATCGGACGTAAGAACGGAGTGTAAACCTATAGTGACCCCCACCCGATCCAACCCCACACGGAACCGGTTGGGGACTAAAAGGAAATCATAACTGATTATATTATAGTTTCCTTGACCGTATTAATGAAACCGTCCTCATGCGAAGGACTGACTTGTATGCACCAACCAACTTTCTTTTAACTCACTTAAATCATGTCAAACGCTCAAAAAGTCAAAATATTGCAGGCTTTCGCTGAAAACTGACAACCCTAATAGTGCTGATGATATTTACAGTACGAATACAGCACGCCATAAGTATTTATTGACTTTTTGAAACACCAATGGTTAATGTATGAAAAAGTATTCCCTTTCACCGTTAAGTCCAATAATTTGATAGCCCTTATCTGCCATTGTTTTTATCCAAATCATCTCAAAATTAAATATGTTCAAAAACAGACTAATAAGAACCTCCATATGAAAACAAGTACTTTCTGAAAAATAGCGATAACAAACCTTCATTGTCAAAATCCAAGATGGCCGCCTCCCGGCCATATTTTTTTATCGGAACCGTCTCAAAAAAGCCCATGCACAACGAGAAACCAAGGGTTACCCTATATATCAAATTAAGACAGGTCCTTCATGTATTTCCTGAGAAAAAGAGATAACAACATTCACCGTCAAAATACAAAATGGCTGCCTGTCGGCCATTTTTTTATCCATTTAGTCTCAAACGTTAATATGCACAACTGCAGACGGGGGGTAACTAACATATCAAATTTGAGAAAGATAACTCAAACACGTCCTGAGAAATAGCGAAAATAAACATTCACTGTCAAAATCCAAAATGGCTGCCTGTCGGCCATTTTGTTTATCAGATCAGTCTCAAAATCAATATGCACAACTAGGGACCAAGGGAAACCTCCATGTTAAATTTGAGAAAAAAAGCGCTAACAGGAATTGTTTAAGGACGGACGGAATGACGGACGGACCGTGATTTGAATAGCCCACCATCTAATGATGGTGGGCTAAAAATATCACCCATTAACACCATAAGTCCTAAAAACCAATATCGATAAGTAAAGCCCTAAAAAGGGAAATTAACATACTTATAAACGTTTCCTCCTTTTATAGACTGTGCAGAAAGTGAAAAACCTCTGTTTTTATATTTAGAATAGCATTAGTCATACGATTTATTTAACTTTACTGACCAATTCGAACAGGTGAGACAACCCATATGGACACAGTTAGGGTCACGTCCGGGAACTCGGAGGACGGAGTTATGCATCCCTTCACGATTCAAATTAATCAGGTCTCGAGGCAACTTGAACTACAAACATGCTATACGTAGTTATCCAGCCTCCTTGACCACGTATAGTCGGGCAGATTCCAACAGAATGTAGCTAAGTGAAGTCAATATTTGTATAAGTATTTTTTAGCAGTTGACATAAACGTTAAAGATTTTAATTGGTGATTCCCAATTTACATCAGTCGTATACGAAAACGCTCTTAAAACAAAGAAAATACATCTCTAGGCATAGATAGTATATCATACTCAATACTTTCATTATGTAAAAATAGCAATTTTAGATCTAATAAACACTAATTGGCAAACGGGGAACTACATGACACTTAAACGCATGTCGAATTCTGATGTGGGAGCCCGATAAAAGGAGAATTCTTGTTAGTTGCTGGGGCACTATATTGGGTTTCTAGGAAACGAAGCCAGAAGCTTCATGACAGCAGCTTTACAACCGTCCATGCTGAGGGAGATGCAGACAAATTCATTGTGACAATAGCGGCGGTTGCGTGTACATAAAAAAACTGTTGTTCTGATTGGAAAGTATACAGACCTGCGTGTGCTGTTGTGCTAATATGATGATATGCAAGCTAATAAGTTCTTCTTCCGTTCACAGACAGGAGGCGATACAGTGGACGAAATGTAAGCACGCAAACTGCATGACCAGCGGTCAACTTTTTAGTGATAACATGGTTTTGACGACACCTGAAATTTAAAAAGACATTTTTAAACAAGATATGTAATATCTGAAAGGCCACTTCGATTGATGATGCCTAATATTATGCAGATGTGAGAATTTAGACATTTTACTTGCTCTTCAGCTGACCGTCGTGATTCCTGCCATTTTTCCTTCGTTGGTCGGAAAATTATTGTTTGTGCATATAACATTCACAACCCTTAACCATGTCCACAGAACTATCAGCTAAGGATGAAAAAAGAGTGTCCAGGCTATAGGTGACAACAGGTCAAGTCACTAGAAAACAGATTAGATGGCATGGAACAGTATTCACGTCGCAACTGTCTGAAATTCAGGGGGATCCCAGAATCTGAACACGAGAACACTGACCAGTGAACTATTGACTCGTGCAATAACATACGGTGTTATGGTTACTGATTCTGACATCAGTCGCTCACATCGTGTAGGTCCCATTAACAAGGCATATCCAAGAGACATAATCGTACGTTTCATCTCGTATAAGACAAGAGCCAATGTTTATGATGCCATATTTTCTTTATTCAGTAAGAAAGACCAGGAATCATCACCCACATCTCCCTCCACATCTAATAAGCTCTTCATCAACGAGGCACGTATATCATTGTGACGGGTATACATTATCTTTCCTAGGCTGGTATCCGAATGAAAATCCATAATATATTATAGGAGATACAGCCTAATATATACAAAAAAATAAATAAAATAATCTTCACGCCTGAGTGCATTCCGGGTTTTGTACTCGCCCCAGAAAACATCACTGAAATGCCGTGACTATGACTCAATACTACCCCTTACTACCCAATACGACCCAGTTATTTATCCAATACTACCCAATACGACTTTAATACTGTGAAATAAGTTATTTAATTCTATCTGCCATATTTTATCGGAAACTATGCAATTTGGTGCAGAAAACGGTCAGTTCGACCGACAGCGTATCAGTAAAATGTGTTTCCTCGAGTTATTCCCCTTTATACAGTAACTTTGCCGCTCCCAATACTACTTCTGCGCTGTGAAATATTACCTAAAACAATTTACTTTCTTTCTGCCGTATTTCCTCAGAGAATATGAAATCTGATGCAGAATAATTGACCAGTATACCGAGGCTTTCAACCGGAGGCGAATAATATTATAAATGGTCTAAAAGTACCGTCTATGATACCGACCCAATACTATTAAATACGACCCAGTCATGCACCTCTGATCATGTTGATCCCGTATCGCTTGTTAAGGTAATGAATCAGTCTAATGATGTTATATACCTTGCATATGGTCTTTTTACTTACTTTTCTGTTATACTTTCCATTTAATGTACTGTTTTACTCTACTCTAAGTCCACTCAGTCCACAGTCGAATTCCAGAGATTGTCATTATGCCTATCGTAAGTTTTTTTTACACCAGAAACCTATTGATGTGTCCTAATGTTTACCACTCGATTGTCTCTGATAATGGATAGAAATAAGAATATCGTTATTATATTTATTGGGACACATCTATATTGTGAGGATTATTACTATATCAACACATTGATCATCCGAGCATTTGCAGGTAAAAATACATACCCTAGCTATTACAGTACATATTGTTTACTTTTTGATGAATCACATTTTTTCAAACTTAAAAACATTGAATATCTTTTATGTCCATTAGAAATATATACCTTTTTTGCAATGATATTGAGATAAGTCCAGGACCCCAATGTAACATAGAAATATCACATCTTAATGTTAGATCTCTCAGAACCAAACTTGATATTATTGAAGCAGAATTACATGAAAGTGACATATTATGTCTTACTGAAACTCACCTTTTTCCAAATATAACTGATGCTGAAATAACACTTAACTCCCATTCCCATAACATTCACAGACTTGATAGAAAAACTGGACCTGGGGAGGAGCAATTATTTATCATAAAGACACAGTATAAACTGAAAGAAGAATTGATCTTGAGCATGATGATATAGAAATGATATGGATTGAAGTATTATTCAATAAGCAAAAAATAGTATTAGGATGTATTTATAGACCTGAATCAAATGTAGAATATTGGGATACATTAGACCATGTTCTAGATAATGCATGTAACACCTCACTTAACATCATAATAACTGGGGATATAAATGTAAATATGTTGAATATACCTGCTAACCACCATTTAAATAGACTAATGGTAAAATGTAACTTTACAAATCTAATTACTAAACCTACCAGGATAACACAAACTACTGCCACTGCTATTGATATGTTATTCACTAATAATATTAATCTTATAAAACATAATATAGTGAATACACCAATATGCAGTGATCACTTTGTTATTCATTTTACCTGTTCATATTCTATATTTAAGCAAAAATCCTACCAGAAAACTATATTAAACTGTGACAATGCAAATTTTGATAAAATGAATAGAGCTCTAAATAAAATAAATTGGGAAATACTAATAAATAATGTTGACTCGAATGAGTTTAATACATTTTTTAACAGATTCTATTAATAATCAAATAGAAGAATGTATACCATCCAAAATTATAACTGTTCGCCCGAATGATAAACCTTGGATGAAGAATATTATTAGGCAAAAAATAAGACAGAGAAATAAATTACATAAAAAAGCTATAATAACAACACTGCAATTAATTCAGAAATTTTCAGAAAGGTTAGAAATGAAGTAGCAGACCTTGTTATAGTAGCTAAAAACACTTGTTATGAAAAATTACAACAATCACGTAGTGACCAATCTGTGCCTCCTAATAAATGGTGGAAAATGACTAGATCTGTTATGAATTCAAATAATGTATTATATTGTCTTCCTCCTCTTTCTGAAAATAATAGCTTAATACATCATCCATTTGAAAAAGCAGAATGTCTAAATAACTACTTCAGCTCAATATAAACTTCTTCTGAAAATCTTGAACCCCTTAACTCCATGAAAATACTTTTCCCTTCCTTCTAGACAATATTAGTATATCTGAAGAGGACATTAAAGATCAACTGTGTTAACTTAATGATAAAAACCTCCTGGCCCAGATGGCGTGATTTATTTGACTTTACTGACCAATTCGAATAGGTGAGACAACCCATAAACGATAGAGGTGACGTATCGCACCAGTCCAATTTGTTCACTATGGACACAGTAAGGGTCACGTCCGGGAACTCGGAGGACGGAGTTATTCATCCCTACACGATTCCAATGAACAGGTCTCGAGGCAACTTTAATTACAAACATTCTATACGTGGTTATCCAGCCTCCTTCACCACGCATAGTCGGGCAGATTCCAACAGAATGTAGCTAAGTGAAGTCAATATTTTTGTTAATATTTTTAGCAGTTTAACTGAATGTTAAAGATTTAAATTGGTGATTCCCTCTCTTACAAGACACTTTAACGCATGTCGAATTCTGATGTAGAAGCCCGATAAAAGGAGACTTCCGGTTTAGTTGCTGGGGCACCATTTTATGTTTCTAGGGAAATCAAGCACATCCACAGTTCATATTTTGGATGCATACCTTTTCAAAAAAGTTAACCGCATACTTTTATCTAGTCTAGAAGCCGAGATAAGGTAACTTGCAGTTTGGTTGCTATGGCGCCATTTTGGGTTGTTAGGGAAATCAAACAAATGTACGGATTGCATTCGGGACTTTCTTACCTTTCCAAAACATTTTCCGCATATCTTTATCTTGTCTAGAAGCTGTGATAAGGTCAATTCCGGTTTAGTTGCTGACACGTCTTTTTGTATTGCTAAAAAAATCAAACAAATGTACGGATTTCATTCAGGACCTTTCCGAAACAGGAAAAATTACAAAAGTTTTAGACATAAGATATCCGTTTCTGGAAACCCTTTTCTGATACTAATTAAACATCTTATACATGTATACTGCTGCCGCATTAGAGACTCCCTTCCAAAATTTGAAATGTGTACGATTATTTTTGCACAAACAATGTGCAAAAATTGATTTTTAATGATCAGAAGTTTATTATCAACATAATACTGTATGATTCATATGTTTGACAGGAAAGAAAACAGACGATAAAAATGGTTATACGATTTCTATCTTTCATTAGATAATCACCCATATACTTTTATCTTATATCGAAAATGTAAATAGTTACAAATAAAAATCCACGTCACCATGTTGTAGTTTCCACATGTGCAAGTGAAAAGGACAGAGTCAATCATAGTGTATATATTTTATTGAAAAGTAATCCTGCTGCATATATTATTTATTATAAGATATATATATAAGATTTATTTTACAACCAATTAATTCGCAATTGACGTTATGTTACATCCTTTCCATATTGTAATCGATTTAATTTAAGTTTGACGTATTTTTGTATGTGAATGTCTATTTTTTATATTGCTGTTCGGCCAAACATGGCTTGCGTTAACTACAGCAAACCATATATTAATAATCCGAGAATTTCAAACGTTTACCTCATGACAGCATTATTACAAACCAACTGTCCATATATGTATCAAATTCGATTACATGATATTGGAAAACGATGTTTCGTCATATTAGTATTCCCAAACCAATCAATCATAGCAATTATCTTCTCGACATATAAAATTATTATTAAGATATCAATAAAATATTTATTACTACTTGTACAACTGTTATAAGCAAATGTAGTAATCTTTTCATGTAATATTCTCAGTGGCGGATCCTCAGACCTATCTGGGGGGGTTTCTAAATTTTCAGGGGGATTTCCAAGTGGGGAAAAATTGAGGAAAATAGTGAAAATACACGATTTTTAAAGAATTTCTCAGTGTGTGTGTGTGTGTGTTATATTAATATTATTATCAACACTATATCAATAAAAAAATGTGTGATCAATTTGATAAATTAAATGAATTCATCCTTTTCTGGGCAACGGAGCAGAAAACCGTTCAACAGCTTAAACGTTTGAAGCAAATCTTAAACAAATTAATCCTACATCTTCTAGGATGGATGATGAATTCGCTTAAAACGGACTTTGTCGTTTAGATGCTTTGGAGCTATTTAGAAAAAAAGCCAAATATAATTTGCATTAAAAAAAAATGAAAATGAAAATACAACAAAGAGTTGATTCCCCTTTGCCACTAAGATAACATTAAAATCAAACTACGGGAGAGTACTCGCACAGGCCTGGTCTGTTATCCAGACCATGTATTGAAATATCTTTGCCTATGCCGTATGTTAAAAAAATAATTACAAACTAATTTCTATACCTAGACCAACTTTATAACGCAAAACTAATTACGTAGAGTGGTAGAGATTGACAAATTGTCACAAGCTGTTGGTTATGTCACCCCGATACACAAAATAGATAAATAAAACCACAGAAAGCGAAAAATAATTAATGATCGAATATTTGTGGCACGTCACTGTTGGTAAATGTGAAAAATCTTACAGCGAGTGATCATTTCATTAAAACGATATATATCAAATGATTCAGTGTCACAGGAAACCAAATAGCTTGTTGTAGGATTTGGTTTGTTTGTGTTTTACGTCCTATTAACAGCTATGGCCATTTAAGGATGTGCCAGGTTTTGGTGGTGGTTGAAAGTCGGAGTTCCCGGAGAAAAATCACCGACCTACGGCCAGTACCTGGCGACTGCCCCACGTAGGTCTCGAACCCGCGACAGTGGTGGAGTGCTAGTGGTAGCAGAATGTCGGACACCTTTAACCACTTGGCCACCGCGGCCCCCTTTTTGTTGGAGGACACTCATACAAATGAGTTGTCATAGTTGTTTTTATCCAGTGTATCATTTGTCACGAAGCATATTAGGATGGTTAGTGGGTATTTCTGTATTTTATATTATCTTTATTTCGTTTCGCTATTCATGGGTAAGCTATAATAGAAAGTTGGACTGACCACGTAAGTAATGTTCACACAGTCATTAGCCATTGTTGCGTTAAGACGTGTGTCATTTTGAGAAGGCCGAAAAACCAGACAGAGTCATCGGGACCACCTATGAAACAGGATGTCTGGTTCCAACTGGGAGATATATGGCCTAAGGTGGATTGTGGATAAGACAACCAACTAAACATTGGTTACACATTGTGAATATTCGCCGGACTGCCTACAACATTGGTGCGCCAGCAAGCACGTAGGGGTCGGAGTGACAACACTTATGGGACAGAAAGCTGGTATGATACTGCGGTTACAGCTTATGTCATTCCTCGTCATCAGCAGATGATATCGGGTGGAAACCGGGAATACCGGGAAGTTCAATGGTGCTGTCGTCATTGAGACAGATATTGTTTTCCACTGGGACCAGATTTGAACAGACATTCGGTGAGACACTTGAAGGAGAGACAGCACAGATAAAGGCCATGACTTTATATATATATCTTATAGTTTCATTGTAAATATTCATCAGTATGAATAGGTGAATGAGGTGTATGTATAATCATATGTATGTGTATAGTGTATTAATGTGTAAATAAACTGTATATGTATATTCCTTGTCTGTTGAGCAACACCACCATTCTCCTACACTACATCATTATCTATGCAATTTACGGCATATCAAATGAGGTAAACATGTTTAGTAACGGGAAGTACTTGAATAATTCATGAAATATTTCCGATCAAAAAGATGCAAAACAGTGCGCCGTATTTGGTTGCAAGGGAAATCAAACACATGTACAGATCACCTTCAGGACTTTCTTACCTTTCCAAAACACTTACCGCACATCTCTATCTAGTCTAAAAGCTGTTATTAGGTTACTTCCAGTTTGGTTTTCTAGAACGCAATCATGTCTTTCTAGGGATATCATACAAACGTTCAGATAACATATAGAGTATTTCACCTTTCCGAAACACTTACTGCATAACTCATTCGTCTCTAAAAGCTGAGATAAAGTCACTTTTGGTTTGGTTACTAGGGCGCCATGTTGTTTACCAAGTTCGTCGTATTGGGTTGCGAGGAAAATCACACACATTTACGGATCCCATTTAAGACTTTCTCACCTTTTCAAAACACTTACCGCATATCTCTATCTTGTCTCGAGGCTGTGAAAAGGTCAACTTCAGGTTTGATTGCTGTAACACCATTTTGTATTGCTAGGGAAAACAAAAAAAATGTATGGATTACATTCAGGATTTTTTCACCTTTCCAAAACATTTAACCACATAATTCTATGGTCTCTGGAAGCTGAGATAATGTGACTTCCGGTTTGGTTACTAGGGCGCCATTTTGTATAACTAGAGCAACGTATTGGGTTGCAAGGGAAATCAAACACAAGTACGGATCACATTCAAAACTTTTTAACCTTTCCAAATGACTTTATTGCATATCTCTATCTAGTCTAGAAGCTGTTCTCAGGTTACTTCCGATTTGGTTGCAAGAAAGCCATCATGTATTGCTAGCGATATCATACAAATGTACGGTTTACATTCAGGACTTTCTTACCTTTCCAAAACATTTACCGCATACTATTTCGTCTGTAGAAGCTGAGATAAGGTCTCTTCCGGTTTGCTTACTAGGGCGCCATTTTGTATTGTTAGTGCACCTTATTTTGTTGCGAGGGAAGTCAAACACATTTACGAATCACGTTCAGGACTTTCTAACTTTTCTAAAACACTTAACCGCAAAACTCTATTGAGTATTGAAGTTGCTATGAGGTTACTAACGGTTCGGTTGCTAAGGGGTCATTATGTTTTGCTAGGGAAATCTTACAAATGTAAGGATTATATTCAGGACTTTCTTACCTTTCCAAAACACTTACCGCATACTCTTTTGTCTCTAGAAGCTGAGATAAGGTCTCTTCCGGTATGCTTACTAGGGCGCCATTTTGTATTGTTAGTGAACCGTATTGGGTTGCGAAGGGATATCAAACACATTTGCGGATCACATTCAAGACTTTCTAACCTTTCCAATACAGTTACCGCATATCTCTAGTCTAGAAGCTGTGAAAAGGTCATTTTTGGTTTGGTTTCTAGGACGACATTCTATATCGCTAGGGCACCGTATTGGGTTGCGCGGAAAATCAAACACATGTACGGATTATAAACGGATTACATTCAGGACTTTCTTACCTTTCCAAAATGCTTTACCGCATAACTCAAGCGTCTATTGAAGCTGAGACATATTCACTTCGGGTTTGGGTAATAGGGCACCATTTTGTATTGCTAGGGCACCGTATAGGGTTGCGAGTTTATTCAAATACATGTACGGATCACATTCAAGACATTCTTACCTTTCCAAAACATTTTCCGCATGTCTGTATCTTGTCTAGAAGCTGTGATAAGGTCACTTCCGGTTTAGTTGCTAGAACGCCATTTTGTGTTGCTAGGGAAATCAATCAAATGTACGGATTACATTCAGGATTTTCTTACCTTTCCGAAACACAAAAAAGTACAAAAGTTTTAAAGACAAAAGATATCCTTTTCTGGAAAACCATTTTCTGATACTAATAAAACATCTTATAAACTGATGCTGCCAGCATCAGAGACTCCCTTACAAAATTTGAAATGTGAATGATTATTTTTGTACAAACAATGTGAAGAAATTGATTTTTTTAATGTTCAGATGTTCATTATCAACATAATACTGTATGATTCATATGTTTGACAGGAAGGAAAACAGACGATAATGTAAAAAGTTACACATACAAATCCACGTCACCATGTTGTAGTTTCCACATGTGCAAGTGGAAAGGACAGAGTCAATCATAGTGTTTATATTTTATTGAAAAGTAATCCTGCTGCATATATTATTTATTATAAGATAAGATATATTTTACAACCAATTAATTTGCAAATTATTATTAAGATATTGATAAAATATTAATTTGTAATACTACTTGTACAACTATTATAAGCAAATGCAATAATCTTTTCCGGTAATATTGTTCATGCTATTATTAACACTATATCAATAAACAAATAAAAGTTTATGACCAGTTTGATGAATTATATGAATATTTCCTTTTCTAGGCAACTGAGTAGAAAACTGTTCAACAGCTTAAACGTTTTGAACCAAACAATAAGCTCATCCTAAACAAATGTATCCTTCATGATCGGGGATAGAGGACAAATACTCTTAAAATGGACTTTGTCGTTTGTATGGTTTGGAGTTGTGTAGAAAAAATAACTAAATATTATCTATATTAAAATAAAATTCAAAATACCATATATTAAAATAAAACAAAGAGTTGATTCCCCTTAGCTACTTAGTTAAAATTAAAATCAATTATGGGAGAGGACTCGGACAGGCCTTGTCAGTTATCCAATCTATGTCTATGTGTATTGAAATGTCTTTCCTAATAGAATATCTTGAAAAGAAATAATTACAAAGTAATTTGTATACATATAAATGTAACTATAACAATTACATAACGCAATACTAACTACGTATTGTATTAGAGGTTGACAATGGTCACGTGCTGTTGGTTATACATTATGTCGATGGAAATGTATATTAGAACAACTGAAATAGGAACTGATCTTATAAGTCCAAATCAAACTAAATTACAATATATATTCATTACATTATCAGTACGCATTTCCAACATTTACTTTGACAATGTGTATATCATTTTTCGTTTTCTACTCCCCTGACTTCATTTTGAGACCAAGATCAAGATCTAAGAAGAAAACGATAATTACATATAGTACCGTAATATTTTCGCCGCAGTTTGACGTTAGCTTATTTCGTCCTTGGCAATGAGGGCAAAATTAATCATGGTAGCAAACGTTTGTGCACATCACACAACTGTATCATACTAGCAAATGTTACACTAGGCGAATATAAAATAATATTACCAATTAAAGGCGAATATTTGACTGGAAACACATTTCCAGTGTACAGAAGCCAGAATTATTAATGACCCATATTTTGTCATTTTATAACAGTCATACATATAATAAAGCGTTAAATAATTTGTGACCGAATAAAATTAACAATTGTAATAACATTGATTCAGGGCGCATGACGCCGTTAAGTACTGTTTGATAATCTTGGTATTCCATCTAGTTCGAACTCCTCAAAAAGTTAAGATTTCCATAAAGTTTGAAAATAATCCAGTAAAAATTACTCGAGATATTGAGCGGATACCAATTCGGCATTTTAATTAAGGGGCATAAATCCGTAAATCACATTTCGATAAGAGTAGTTATCGACATAACCCGGGCTCTCATGGTATTAAACATGCATGTGAAGTTTGAAGTTTACCCTTTGAAAAATACTCGAGATATCCACCGGACACTGTTTAAGCAACTGATTAAAGGGGCATCACTCAGTAAATTATGCTCGGATAATTGTTGTCATTTACTTGTTAGCGGTCTAATAGCAATTACCCTTCCTGTGAAGTTTGAATTTTATCCGTTGAAAAGTATTTAAGATATCAAGCGGTCGCCCGAACGACCAACTAACCGACTGGCGGTTCATAGGGCCTTAATTTTTAAAAATTGAAACCAATTTCAATAATAAGTTGTACAAAACAAAATTAGGAAAATCTATCAGTGGAAAAATGAAGTCTTTCAATATTTAAGGCGTACTTACATATGCTTTTTCCGACCTAGACTTTCAATCTTCACAAATTCCCCAAAACTACCAGATTGGAATCAGTTGGCAGTGTTCCAATATAAAATGTAGCTGGGTTTGACTGCGCAATCGGAATAGATATAGTCTATTTTAGGCGATCCGTGCTCAAGATTTTCCAGTCAGACAATTATAATTAATACACCAATCCACAAATGAGCACTAAGTCACGTGACCCCGAGTCGGATCTATAGACCAGTAATCAATATGTCTATGCGGTTTCCTAATTATGAAACGTGTCTTAACCTTGTGGGTCACCATATAAAAGTAAAACTTTAAATGCTCTTCTAACTGTTTTATTATTGAAAAATTGTACATTATACTGTTCACATTCTCCTTCTTTATTCTTATTAACTTCATAAATGTATTATTATATTACATCGAGATGTTAATGACGTTAATCAAGATGTATATCTTCCACAACCACTATTTGTTTCCTCACTCCCAATTCCTTGGATTCCTGTTCGGAAACAGGAATAATGTATTCCTGTGGTGATTACATTATTATTATTAAATATTTCATATATCTTGTCTTGTTATTCACCGTACAAGAGTGTGTTGAAAGCACATTTTTGTATCCAATACCATCCATACCGCCCGTTAGAAGAATGTAATTTAAAAAGCAATTATCTGCTCTGACTCGTTGTCATTACTATAAAGTATTACATATAACACTGACTTATTGTGATTTTAAACCTTCAATAGTGAATTGTATTAAAAGCAAAATAAATGGTGTGACAAAATAAACAAGTATTTCACAATTCCACCTAACGTAGGTCGATGTGCAACAAGTATAGCAGACTGCAGAGAGGAAGTTGTCCTCTTGCGACTACGCATAGGCCATACCTTCGTCACACATAGATACATTTTACGTAAAGAATACCAACTTTATCGTCATGTATATGATCAGCCGTTTACAGTCAAACATGTAATGATTAAATACGCTGATATAATGTATCGTCTATGAAAAGATATTTTTTTATACAATTGATCTTTATAATAAAATCTGATATATTGTACAACCTATTCGTTCCCTGTTGATGTGTTTCTATATTTGTACACATGTTAACCTCTTCTATTTCTAGTTTTATGTATTCATTTTTGTGAATGTTTATTTTTATAATGTTGTTGGTCCTAAATGACTCGCATTGTCAGTGGGCCGTAAACAGTACCTAAAACCCCATAAACAACTCTAGGGTGACACCGCCAGAAAAGAAAAGGTAGATCATAAGTGTTATGGGATATGTTAAATTATAGTAGAACTGTTCTCCTGGCGCTTAGACCAGAGGATCCTGATATGAGTAAACGGTTTTTGGAGGTCTGAAGAACTCTCGAATCGGTCAAAAACGTTCACACAAGGCATGGGACACGGAGGGGGAAGGGTGCTGTCAGACGAATATCACGTGTAATCGTAATCGGCTTCACATCGAACGGGACAAGTGTTGGTAAGTGCTGGCTCTGGTAATCTCGTCCAGCTGGTCAACAAAACAGTCTGGCCACCTCGCACACACTCTTGCATGGATATCCTGCACCAACAGAATGATCAGGCACTATTGTGCATTCTTGTTACGATACTTAAATATATAGATTCCGACATCATCGTTATAGTACGTTATCGTACGAGAGGTCCCTGCAGGTAGGGCGTGATATTTGCCCCCATTGCATGATCGTAAGAGGCGACTTAATTTGGGATCTCCTCTTTTTTCTATTCTTTATAAACAGCTTTCTTCTTCCTAATGTCTCCCTTGACAATGCTTCATTTTTGGACGTTCGCCCCTGTAAGGAAGGCTTTGGTTTCTGTCCCCTGGCCGAGAAATGCTACTCCTGCTTAACGCTCAGCAATTTAGAAGTGGGACAACTGGTTCGCCCGTTGTCAGTATAATGTGACCGGCTGGGGTGTCCTGCTGGATGTCTTCGGCAGTATGTTTTAGTGAGGTAGCACTATAAAGTCGGCATCAGTTCCGCACTAACACAAGGAGACAAACACGAAGATATCGCAGCCTCCCAAAACACGCACGCATACACTTGCATCTTGCACACAGGGGAGGCCGTCCTTAAATGACCATAGCTGTTGTTAGGACGTCAAACAATACTAAACCAAAACCAAACCAATCGTACGAGAAACTAAAGGTCATCAGGTCATTGTAGGTCAGTTATTCCTCCTCTGAACTTAGTGTCATTGAATTGTCACTGAATGAAAAACAAATCATCGTCCATCGGGGATTTTGTAACGCCTCAGGACGTATATATATTTTGGCATTAACTATGACCTGGTTAGCTCACATTTCGATGACCGAGTACTAGCTGAGGTAATACCAACACGAATTTCTACACAATGCTAGACTCAATAGACATGGTAGTTGGGTTGCTTTTCTGTCTGAGAAAGATTTAACTGTTAGACATCTCTCTCCCAACTATGATGATGTTAACACACTCTTTGAGCACATGACTTGTTCTGTCATTGCTGGTGATGAACAATCAAGAGTGTGTATCATGTACAGGCCTCTTTTATTTAAACAAAACGGGTTCCGAATTTCTGTGTGTTTTGATGAGCGGTCGACATGTTAAAGTCACCAGGTTTGTTGTACCAAATATACTTATTCTCACGAGTTATTCAAATTTACATTTAGACGATACATCTTATGTTGATGCTCGTCAGTTCTCTGGGCTACTCAAGTCTTCGATTATAATACAACATGTGACAGAAGCTACACACACCCATGACCATACGCCAGATTTGCTCATTA